ATCGTATATATATTATTGATACCTTCGGTGTATAGGACGCAAACAGATTTTGCCATTAAATTTTGGGGTAAAAAGTGCGTCTTATACACCGAAAAACACGGTAACTCTGTCTATCTCATCCAATATGTAGTATTTCATGAACAATTCTTTTTCACAACACAAACATTTTGTGTCACAATTTACATTGCAACACCTAACACTAGTTCTAGTATGAATATAAATTAGTGTTAGTTTCACATTCTTCATTATCAAAATATATTTTTGATTAGCCTGTAACAACTTATTTTGTAGAAAATTTGAAAGGTTAAAATTATTTTCGATTTGATTATTATCTTCATTTTGTCATTTGTTATTAAATGTGACCATCACATACTTATGGTTAGATTTAATTTCGTATTTCTTCATATTGGTGAACCAGGCGTAGCCTAGTAAATAGCACGCTACACACTTTGGATACCGTCAAATCCCAGTATTTAATCAGACGAGAATAGCCCAAGATTTGGTGATGAATACTATTAACTAGCTGCCTTTCTTCTGATCTATCTATCATTTTAAAAGTAGGGACTGATGTCTATACATCATTTTAAAATTAGGGACTGTGTAGATAGCCTTTGTATAACTTTGCGTGAAATCCTAAAACAAATAAATTACAGAAGCATCCCCACGTTAATATTTTGCACGTGCTCGTTTACAGTATTTGTTATATTAATAATGGTATTCACTTATGTAATGTAATATATACTTTCCATTGATGTATTTTTATGTAAAATTATTTTTAGTAATCTTTTGTGACAAAACTCAACAAATGTAGTGTCACCATGTAGTAATATTACAAGTTCATTCAATTTGTTATTTATATCAGAACTTGTTTATTTATCTTTGTTTCCAAACAGTAACATAAGAATAAACGTTTCCATTTGTTTTCCTTTTATTAATATTAATAATATATATATATATATTCATATCGAATTGTAGTGTCATTTTTATTAATTTAACTATGTCTACAAATACAATAATTTTACATTGTTATATTATTTTATTTATAAATTATCAAATTTATCACACAAATATATAACTCAAATTTACATTTGCTGAATTGCACATCTTGGTTATAATAGTTTATTTAGTTAACTACCGTTATATTTTAACGTTAATTTTGTATTTAGACAGTGGATAATTATTTATTACACTATTATAATTTATAAAATATAACTTATGTGACTGGAAATGATTAATTTTATATAGTGTGGCAATCTTTGTAAGGATTCATTTTAGATATTGTAACGAGTTTTGCCATAATTTATTATGGATGTTGTAACAAGTTTTGCCTGATTTGCCATTATTTATTATGGATATTGTAACGAGTTTTGTCATAA